GTGCATTATCATGCATTAACTGAAATAAGGGACCGATTTGCACTTGTAGAGGAACGATGACGTCTGATACAATCGTCTCAGCATAAATTTGAGCGTTGAGGTTGCCTCTGATCCAAATCAACTCAGTTCTTCCGCCGATCCAAATACCCGCCCATACCATGATGGTTCCACCACTATAGGGATGGACTTCCTGGCAGGATTTTAATCGCTGTTGGCGTCCAGGGGTTCTCCAGTGTCGTATACGTCTTGTATCCGGTCTCATACCAAAACGAGACTCATCAGAAAAGCACACGAAACGCCATTGTTCTTCTGCCCAATTTCTGTGTTCAAGAGCCCATTGATATCGAATCGTACGATTGTGCATTGCTATAGGTGGTACCCGTAGCAGTCTTCGGGAATGAAGGTTCATTTCATGCAAGCGGTTTCTGACTGTTTGGTCGCTAATTAAGTTCCCTGAAGAGTGATGAAGCCTCACGGCTAACATCATGGCGGTTATTGTTGGAGCTCTTCGAGTTAAGATTTGAATGTATCGGTCTTGTCTCCGTGTGGTGCAGCGATACCGTCCTCCATGGCGCTCAGCCACGGTACCAGTGCTTCGGTATCGTGTCCAAAGTCGACTGATAACACTCTGACTTGTATTCAGAGCTAAAGCCACAGTACGTTGCCGGGAACCAGCTTCTATCATTCCCACGGCTCTGAGCATTTCTTCCCTGCTTAAATGACGTCGCCGCTCCATAATAACGTTGGTTTTAATCAGTAGTAGGGAAACAGTAGCACTAATAATGTCTTCAATGCGTTGTATGTTTTTATAGGGAAAATATTGACAGCTGATTTTCATCTTTTACTCGAATTTGATTCACAGTTCCTGATTCAAATTATGAAATGCACCAAAAAGGATCTATATAAATTTATAAAATCATAAATTTATTACAAAGCCACATCTCAATCTCAAGAAATCCGCATAAAAATGCTTGATCCCTAGACACTTTTGATGTGTGTATATGTATGATATCATCTAATTTTATCTCGCCAACAAACACTTCAGTATTTGACCCTATAATGTAGTTATTCTGTGCTTATCTCCACTGCTTTGTTATGGCTGTTTTATCTGTTCTCCATGCAAAATCTTTCAATGTTTATTATATAAAGCTAGTCTACTCACTCAAAAAAAGGTGATGGCTGAAAATCGGTGTTTTGCTTTAAAACTGGCAAATATTTAGCCGAGTCTTGGCCTTTTGTTTTCTGCAGCATACATATATGTATATAGCCGATTTCTTGTATCTTTTCATTTTTATTTTACATTGTATTACTCTGAAATGTAAATGTATGTTGAGGAAAAAAACGCATTATCTATCTATCCATCTATCTATCTATCATCTACTACAAGTGGAAGTGTCCGTCTAGTAGAAAGAGAAAGAAGATGGGAGAAGGCTAGCTATCTCTCTCTCTTGTGACGCTGCGCAGTCGTGTGATTTACCGGTATTTGTTCGGGATGTACTGAAACTAAGATACTGGTAAAATGATAAACTTGATAACTTGATAATAAAGTATATTTTGGTAACTAAATAAGAACTTAAAACAATACTAATTAATATGAAAATGATTGTTATGAATGAGTACGCGCACGGCTTACTTGATAGCTAATTGCTAACTAACATGTAAGTAATTGACGATTATTGAAAATAATAAAATAAAGTCAATTATGATTTTAATTATTTTTTAAGCATTTAACTGCTAGATGTTTAAATATAAAGAAAAAAATCCACGCTGACCAGGCAGCGGACGGGACAATGTCATGTAAGGTCAATTAGTAAAATGATGAGCGGGCGAAATGTACGTAGCTCGCTCGTATAGTATTCTAGTCGTAGTCTCTCATCTTCTTTCTCTTTCTACTAGAAGGACACTATTAGAATCGCCTTCCCCACTCTATTCTTATACCTCTATGAATATACACAGTCAGGTCATAAGTATTGTCACACAGTAACAACTTTTCTTTTAGAATGCTGGCCACAAAAAAGTTTATTGAATCCGAATTTCGAATTGTTCATGAAAATAAAAATGTAAACTTTTTAGAATTTTACTCTTTTTTAAATATGGTGTGGACGCTTAAAGAAGACCGTGTTGCAGTTATTGCGTTGCATCGTTGCGGATACGTGTCAATTCAAATTTTTTACATACTGAAAATTTTGAATATAACCAAAAGATTCGTTTATCGTACCATCAAACGATACAATGACGACACTAGTGTAGATGACAGGTCAAGAAGTGGTCGCCCTCGGTCTGTTAGGACTCCAGCGGTGATAAAAGCTGTGAAGGCGCGAATTCAAAGAAATCCCAAACGTAAGCAGAAACTGTTGACCCTTCAGATGGGGTTAAGCAGAACCACGGTGAAAAGGGTGTTAAATGAAGACTTAGGGCTTCGGGCATATCGAAGAAAAACAGGACATCGTTTGAATGCTCGTCTAATGGACCTGAGACTGAAGAGATGCCGCGCTTTGTTGAAGGGGTACGCGGGGAAAAAATATAGGGAAATTTTGGATGAAAAAAGTTTTACCGTAGAAGAGAGCTACAAGAAACAAAATGATAAGGTGTACGCACACAGTAGTGAAGAAGCGAGCAACCGTATTCCGCGTGTCCAACGAGGTCATTTTCCATCCTCCCTCATAGTATGGTTGGGACTTTCTTATTGGGGCTTAACAGAGGTACATTTTTGTGAGAACGGCGTAAAAACGAATGCAGTAGTGTATCAAAATACAGTCCTGACGAACCTTGTGGAACCTGTTTCTCATACCATGTTCAATAACAGGCACTGGGTATTCCAACAAGATTCGGCGCTAGCTCATAGAGCGAAAGGGCACACAAGACTGGCTGGCGGCGCGTGAAATCGACTTCATCCGGCACGAAGACTGGCCCTCCTCCAGTCAAGATTTGAGTCCGTTAGATTACAAGATATGGCAACACTTGGAGGAAAAGGCGTGCTCAAAGCCTCATCCCAATTTGGAGTCACTCAAGACATCCTTAATTAAGGCAGCCGCCGATATTGACATGGCCCTCATTCGTGCTGCGATAGACGACTGGCCGCGTAGATTGAAGGCCTGTATCACGGGTAAATCACGGAGGTCATTTTGAATAAACTTTATTGTCATAAGTATCTATGTTTTGTTAAGTTCATATTGGTATATAAATGGTTACATAATGAATAAACTTGTTTCAATTATTTTATATCAAACATTTGATAGAATTTATGACCTGACTAGGTACCTATAAATGGTTACATAATGAATAAACTTGTTTCAATTATTTTATATTAAAGATGTAACAGAATTTATGACCTGACTAGGTATATCGTATCGCGGTCTTAGAGCATTACTCTAAGACCGCGGTCCAGCACAGGGTAAGGTTCCAGGACTCCACGGGTTAGGGATGGCGTTATACATACTTTAGTTTTTTATGTCGGTTAATAAAATAAAATAAATAGCGCAAAAGTTCGTAATAAAAATTGCATATCAAAGTGGACACACCTCATTTAATAATTCAACTAAATACAGTCACTTTGATAGACAATTTGACATTTTAATAGTGTTTAATTTAGTAGCAACCAGTCATTATCGCCTTTCAATTAACAATGGAATATAGAGACACTTAAACGATCACGTAAATTGTATAAATGGATAATTACGGGAAATTGAGTATGAATTCGTTTTACTAAGGTGGTAAAGTATGACGAACTTGATGGCGCTTTCTTGAGCGGAATTGGTCAGCAAACGCAGAAGTTAAGCAACTTTTGTAATAGCCGGTCAAGATATGAGTGACCAAGAATTGATATATAATATACACGACAAAAAAAAGGTGACAACCCTAACCACTTCGTTACGTAACGCGTTATGGTGCCAGTTTGTCTGGCTTCCCGTCCTCTCACGCATACGGTAGCGGTAGGCAGGCTCATTCTCTCTCACTCTAACCCGCATAATAAACTTGAGGAGCTCGATAGCGTAGGTAAATAGCGCATTCGGGCTGCGATCGTAAGAGTTAAGCTTGCGCAAAGTCGGTTATTGAATGGGTGACCAAAAATTTTTTATCTCACTACGCGCGTCGGGAGGTACGCTAAGCCGTTGGTCCCGGCTGCATATTCAGTCGTTAGCACCCACCAATACGCACTAGGCCCGCGTGGTGGTGACCCACCATGTCTCATTATTCCATCCTATTGAGAAGGCCTGTGTTCATACCATGGGGTCATTAACTGTCTGATGATGATATAATTAATCTTTTTTCTTTTTATAATTAGGTAGGCAAATGACTTTACCCCACCTGATGTTAAGTGGTAATAAAGTCCAAACGAGAAGGTACAGCAGTTATAAACTGCTACACCAACCATCCTCACCTTGCCGGCCCGCAAAAATGCTTCTTCACGCCTCTCTTAAAGGACCCCAGATTATAGGAAGGAAAAACACGTGCGCGGGCAAAGAATTCTACTTACGAATAGTACGACAAAGAAATGAGTCGCCAAACTTCTTTGTTCGTGTAGGAATAGTGGCCACAGTAAGTCGGTGGCAACGTAGGCCAGCGCGCGTGGTCCTCTGAAGAAAAGGTGATGGAGGGATAAGCGAGAATAGCTCCTCAGAACACTCGCCGTGGTATAGTCGGTAGAATGCGCTTAATGATGCCACATCACGGCGTAATTGTAGAGACTCGATCTATCTCCTTCCTTACTTCATGCTTTGAAATATAAGTTAATATAAATAGCCATTAATCCCGGTTGAATGGTGGGCCATGGCTCGTTCTTCCTATTTTGTGGCCGCCAATGCCCCTCCAGTTTGGAAATTAATAGGCTGATGATGATGGTAATGAAAACCATCCTGTGTGACGACACCATTATTTTAATGACGATGGTAATATTAACAATATCAAATTAAAACATTTTAATAAACATTATTTATTGCATAAAACAAACATTGCTTACAAGACATAAATAAGGTATTGTTTGTTAATGTGTGATTCCTTTAACTCATTGTCGGTCTCAGAGCAGTATACGCCGAATAAATCGACCTTATAACCATCATTAGACTACTGAAGCTCAACATGGTGACACCACCCGCTGACAGTTTCATTGTCTTCTGCGAAATCAGTGACATCAATAGCACAGTTCTCATATTTTCAACATTGAAATTCTCCCATTTGCATGCAAACACGGATTTCTCAAATATTATGCTTGCGTCCATCAGCCGCTGGCCCGTCAAACAATCCATTGCTACTTGCATCAACGCAAATGGTACTTCCATGTATGTGTTCTCCAGACCACCAAGCAGTTCTACTATCAAACCTATGATTAATAATCCAAATTCAACAGCGATCGCTCCTCTTAGCACCTGTTCCATTTGTTGTACAAGGTTGATGTTAGTCATATGGACTTTAATGATTTCACGAAGGCGAATCTTAATGAACTCATTAATACGGTCATAATTGTTGCGATTAGCAGAAATTATTTCTTCAAGGCTTGTGAGCTGATCATTAGAATCTGCACAGGCATCTATAATGACGTGATCGTTAAGGTGGTGTAGGCCATCATTCCAAATATTCAAGACCTCCTCACTAAGTGCGAGCATCTGAGCTTCAGAGTAGCCAATGATGATGATGATAAAAGCGGTGATGTTTGCAGGAAGGTAAACTGTCTGTACTACGCCCAGCGCCATGAGGACAAATGTGATTTCATAATTCGGCCATTCAGTGGAAGGTTCTAGGCCTGTAAACAAATAAAACACATTAGACGATAAAGAAGACTCAACTTTGATAGCAACTTTAATATCAAGAAAATCGGTGATATATTTTTTCTTACAATAACAGATTTTCGTTACCAACCGTATAGCGTAAACACATCTTCCATTAGATGCTTTCCTGGTTGTATAGCGGGTTTGACGATGTACACAACCCCATTGCCTATTATTACCAACCAAAAGATCATTGCTCGTTTCTTTACGTGTCTGAGCGTCTTCATCATGTTGTGGAGGAAGCGGCTGTCGGGATTCACGTGAGAATCGCATTCCAGATAGAGTTCGACTATTTCGCGCAACTTGTTCCTACCAACAAAATGTTTATTATGAAAGAGTTTGCATTTTGGTTGAGAGTATAATTTAGTTTTTGTTAACAACTTATCAATGGTTAGAACATTGATAAAGTCGAAATACGATAAGTCTGCAGTGGACTGACAGTAGCAAAAATTAAAACGTTAAGTTTTGTTATAACCAGTACATTGCAGTACTGGTTATAGTTGAATTAACTATCGCTGATACTTTATTAATAACCGACTTGAAAAATGGAGGTGTCTAAATTATATGAACCGATGGCGTAGCGTTTGACTTTCACAAGAGCTTATAACAGCCTAGACTGAATAAAAGAGTTTGAGTTTTGTGTAATTGAATATATATATGTCGGAATGAATTTTTGAACGAAGCTAAGTGAAAGTGATCGAATAACAAAATATGATCATCCCTTAATCGAAAGGGATTACATTTGGAAGTTTTGGTCTCTTAGTTGGACTACCACTACAAACCTTAGAATAAGAAAAAAATGCAGTAAATGGTTAAAACATATATAAATATAAAAAATAATTGGAGGTTGGTAAAAAGTATGGAACATTTAACCTGAAAATCATCATGAACATGAGCTTGGTGGTGCCAATTTCGCTGGTGATTCCGAGTGACAGAACGATCATGCCAGCTGTAAGGTCACCAGTCTCGCGGCATCTCCAGAAGACGAACCACACCATAGAGACCAGATACACGTAGAAGTAACTAGCAGTTACGATCGCCGTGATGATGTAGTAGGTTGTTGGTATAGCTGGAAAGGTAAAACACCAGAAACAAGACTGCAAACGTCTTTATTATGTTCACAGAATTTAGAATAATATTAGAATTTATATCGTAGGTTTCATAATATAATCTCGAAATCACATTTAAAATAAACTATTCCCATAATGATTTTGCGCAATAGTTTGCGATTAAGTTTAATACAAAAATATATTAGTCCGATGATGGATACTTAAACTACAAAAGAATCCATTAAGGATTTTTAGTTGCCGGTGCAAGAGAATGAATATTCGATTAGTTCGGTAATCGATGTTTCTTGTAACTAAAACAAGTATGTAGTAAATAAAAGAATATGCTTATCAATGGGACTTACGTTTAGTGTTCCCAGGGTCAATGTTGAGATTCAGAACCCTCAGCATGGAAGAGACGTTCCATATCATGGTTGGTAAGTCACAGTACTCCAGTCCAAATTTCCGTATGGTTTTCCACATTATGAACACTAGATAGGTTATGCTTAAGAACAACAATGGTGTGAGACTTAAGAATTCACACAAGGTATCAAGGAAATTCCTGATACAATGCGATAATACAAGGAGCTGAAGTTTATAAAATCATAATCATTACAGAACTAACATTAAAAACACAGTGAGATTCAGTGAGATTCACAGAATTGAAAAGATTGTGTGCGATGTCTATGATAGAACAATGTTGTATAGTTCAAGACTATAATAGTGTGTACAGTTTCCTTGTATTAAAATTGGCCTAAATTTTTGTGTGAGTTGTACAACGTGTTGTATTTAATATCAATGTGTTTTTAGTTTTAAATTCATTTGCCAACAAAGCAGCATTGTATAATAGTCGTGTAATTTGAAAGTTATCTTTAGGGGATTATGTCAAAATAATGAATTTGATGATGACGAAGATTTGATGTAACATAAAAAAATATTTAAAATAACACGTATTTAATAAAATTTAATTATTAATATAAGACGAAAAAAATTATGGCCACTGAATATAACAAACTTGAGATGCGAGTATTAAGACACTTGACAGTGCATGTCAATGATGCATGTCATCATTCACTTTCATAACCTGTGAATTTAAGCTCCATTACGTACATTGTGATTACAATATCTAGATCTGTAATTACTCGTTCAGTTTAATTATTATTCAACCCTATTACACCGAGAATATATTACTGTTTCTGTATATTAATGGCACTTTGTGTAAAATATTATCTAACTGAATATAGTAGCTGGTATAGTTAAAATAAAACCAAATTAATATTATTATCATTTAATTTTTCAAACATTTTAATATTACCGAGATTGCATTTTCAGTTTGTGTGTTAGGCTCTTTTTTGACAAATTTTTATGACAAAATACTGGATCAAAATATTATCATGAAAACCTTTCTGCAGAAAAATAAATTCACGTAGTTAAAGACTGCCTTCTAGACAGAAGTTTTAATTCCTCCAGACCGTCTGGTCTGTTTAATTAAAACAGCTGATTTAAATAAACTGATTTATTTGTGACTTTTAGGAAGGTTTCTAGATTTGCTACTCAGATGCGCCTACTTTCAGGATTTAAAATATAGGTTATACTGTACATAATTATCATGTACATAAGGCAAACAAAAACTTGGTCTTTATACTAAAACTATTTTTATTTTAAAGATATTGCTGTTTATGGCGGTAACCTTGTAGATATAGATAAAATAATTAATAGTTATTATTTAAGTAATGAAGTAAGGTTAGAATACATCGCAGGCAATTAAAATCTAATTCAACTGAATATTATTCAATTCGATGACAGACTATTTGACATAAATAACTAGAGTTTAGTTTATAAGCAGTCTATTATTATCATCTTCTCTTTGAGTAGCAGTGTGCGTATAAATTAACATAGATCAATTAAGACCAAATTATATTGTGTAATTTCTTCAACTCATCGTCGGTCTCAGGGCAGTATACGCTGAATAAATCGATCTTAAAACCATCATTAGACTGCTAAAAGATAACTTGGTGACACCCCCCGCGGACAGTGTCATTGTCTTCTGCGAAAGCACTGACACTAGCAACACTGTTTTCATATTTTTCAGATTGAAGTTCTCCCATTTGCATGCATACACTGATTTCTCAAACATGATGCTTGCATCCACCAGCCGCTGGCCCGCCCAACAATCCATCGCTACTTGCATCAACGCAAAAGGTACTTGAATATACGTTTTCTCTAAACCACAAAGCAGTTCTAATATCAAACCAATGATTAATAATATAAATTCAACAACGATCGCCCCTCGTAGTACCTGTTCCATTTGTTGTACAAGGTTGATGTTTGTCACATGGATTTTAACGATTTCGCGGAGGCGAGTCTCGATGAACTCATTTATAATATCATGTTTGTTTATATTCTCAGACCTTGTTTGGTAGACGGTTGAGAGCTGATCATTAGAATTTACACTAATATCTGTAATTGTGTGGTCATCAAGGTAGCGGAGGGCATCATTCCAGATATTCAGGACTTCTTCACTGAGTGCGAGCATCTGGGCTTCATTGTAGCCAATGGCGATAATGAGAAAAGCGCTGATGTTTGCCGGTATGTAACATGTGTGTACCGTCCCAAGGCTCATAAGTAAAAATGATATTTCATGATTTGGGGATTCAGTGGAGGGTTCTAATCCTGAAAAAAATACACAAACTTTGGTAGACTCAATTGATTGATGATGCATTTTCAATAAATCCATGTAGCTACACTTTGGTATGAAAATGTTCTACAAACTAAGGTTTTTAAATTTAGGTAAGCATGCATTTTCATAACGAACCATATAGCGTGAACACGTCTTCCATGAGATGCTTTCCTGGAGTGACGGCAGGTTTTACAATATACACCACTCCATTGCCTATAATCACCAACCAGAAGATCATCGCGCGTTTTTTCACGTTTCTAAGAGCCTTCATCATGTTGAGGAAGAAACGGCTGCCTGGCTTCACTTGAGAGTCGCACTCTAGATAGAGCTCGACTATTTTGCGTATTTTGTACCTATAAAGGGGTTTGGGTAAAAGTGCCATATATATCCAAAGTACATCGAAGCCAAGATATGATTTTTTAAAATAGAATAATCTAAAATTGAATCTTATGTGCTTTTTTGTATAAACTTTTACTTGGGCGAGTGCCTCATCCCATCGCCGCAAGGCCTCTGCCAGCGCGATGGAACGGACCTGCCCCAGCAGAGCTACAGCAGGTCTTTCACCCCGCTCCCTGGCTTCGACCCGACCTCGACGCACGTCTGCCAGGACCTGCGCATCGAGATTCCACGGCATCACAACCGCGAGTACGCAGGCGGCGCTGTGGCTGACCGTGCGGTACGCCACGCATCACCTAGTCCCCCACGTTTGGGAGGACGCTGCTGAGTGCGGCTGCGGCGGTGCACAGCTCACGCACGCTTGAAATGCTCCTCGAAACTCCATCGGGGATCCAGCACCAGGCCGAGGTACTTGTGGCTTACCTCAACCGGTATACGGACCCCATCCATCCGGATAAAGAGCCCCGGTTGGATGCTGCGGCGTGAGCCGTGGACCCGTATAGCCTTCGTTTTGTCGCGGGTCACTTCCAGGCCCAGAAGGCGGATGCGTCGGACGGTTAGTGCAGTGCCGATCAACTCTAGGCGAACCGTTTCCTTTGCCTTCGCCGCGACCAACGTATCATCGGTAAAGCACACAACCTCCTTTTTGGGAAGGAGGCTGCCTCGCCCAGTTGTACCCCAGGTTCCAGAGCAGTGGACCCAGCACTGACCCTTGGGGTACCCCTGCGGCCATGGCCCGAGAGCATACGCTTCCATCGGGCCCCTCGTAGAGGACTTACCTTCCCTGCAGGTAGTCCTCCACAATGAAATAAAAATCCTTTATAAATAAAATAAAATAAAATAAAAAATGGCTCGCATTATGGAGGCATGCAGTGCCCCCATAATGCACTCGTGGGGGAGACTGTTCAAGGAGTTGCGAATGTCCCGCGACACCGCAACAGCAGTCTCTTCCCTAAGAGCGGCCGCTTTGGTCCACCCCTTCAAAAAGGCCACCGCCTCTACGGTGGACCGGTTTTGCCGGAACCCGAACTGGTGCTCTGCCAGATTCGGGTCCGGCCCCTCCAGGTGCTCAATGATACGCCCCGCCAGGATTTTTTCAAAGAATTTCCCGGCGACATCGAGCACCAATGCTACCGCGGCCCTGATGGCCTTGTCGAATTCTTGCTAGTCTTTGAAACATAAGTTTCATTTGATGTCGGTTGTTATGAACGCGAAGTACTCGTATATTCTGCAACTAGTGGCCGGCCCTCGCTTCGCTTCGGTGTAGAGCTGAAGTGTAGACTATAGTTATTGTTCTCAGGCTTGTATTATACACAATGACATTCTTCTTATACCTACCGCCGCCGCGACCCGTGTCGAGGATTTGCGGAAAATTGATCGAAAACAATTCATCGAATTACAATTCTTCGAACACAATTCATCGAAAAAACTATTCGTCGAAAAACAATTCTTCGAACGGTAATTCCAAAAAAAAAATGAAAATTTAGCAGGAGGGAGGCTAAAACGAGGTGGGGAAAGGGGAAAAAGTATGAAAAAAAAACGTTGCACGTACAAAAGTGTCGTTTCTGGCGCTTCGCCGGCCGCTGCCGCGGCACGCTCGCTCCGCTCGCTCGGCTCGCGCGTTTTTGGTCATCATACTAACCTAACCTAACCTAATGAACTCTTTAGACTTTATTCATTGCGGGGGGCTTCGCCCCCCGAGCCCCCTTGCGGGGGTTCTGTCACTAATAATATGAAATATAAAAAGCATGAAATTCTACACATTAATTTATTTTGTATACATGTTTTATGGCATTAATTGTTTCTAAAAACGCGTCTTTTTTATATTTAATTATGTTTCTGCGCCACAAATATTCTACAATCGAATCTGCAAAATCGTGCGGATGGTTATAATTATCTTTTCTGAAATATCTTTTGACAGCCCTCCACTGGGACTCGATCCTCTGCGTGTGAGTACCGTCTGGGGCAATAAATGGGTTGTCTGGATCAGAATGGTTTACTTTTTTGTTTTTCGGGGAATTACCGTTCGAAGAATTGTTGTTCGACGAATTATTTTTTCGATGAATTGTGTTCGAAGAATTGTAATTCGATGAATTGTTTTCGATGATTTTTCCGGTGAGGCGTGTCGAGCGCTTCAACCGTTACACAAAAATAATCCTTATTGCACGATTTAGTATTCACGTGCGAAGACGCGATGGCTTATTTCATGTATAAGTTTGGTGTTTCTATACCGATTTCTATTATTTTTTTTTTATTGAATAGGTAATAATGTTAACTTTTTAAAATTATGGATGAGTAAGAGTTTTATAAACGTAAGAGTAAACAAATATAATCAGAATGCTCCGAACTGCTAAGCTATGAGGAGTTACACGTGTTATTGTGAGTCAACCATAAAAGATAGACATAT